GAAAACTCAGAGTATGATACTTAATGATTTTCTTAAGGAGAGATGTGAGAAATAAATTATATAGGCCATATCATCTTTGCTAGCTTTTCCTGGTTTAAATGAACCTTTTCCAAATAAGAAGGACATGAACAAGAAATAAAAATGACTGTTGCCATTAATGCCCAAGCCACACTTTATGATGAGTCTTTTGCTTCTGTCCTTGAAATGTGAGCTATTGGACATTTGCTAAGGGGGACCTCTGTTCCCTTTCTCTTTTCTAGTTCACTGTGGATTTTCTACAGGACAAATTCACAGATTTAACATACCGTGGCTTCTTATGTGGAGTTTAGTCATAGAAGTTCAGCACCCAGAGTAGGAGGCATTTAAAGCTGAAAGAAGAAAGATGAGGCTGATCTCCTAGAGGGGAGAGTCTGTGTTTGTCACCACCTATGCCACAGTTAGTGTTCCTACAACTTGGGGAGTTGGATATCAGAGAACACAGAGAGTTCTACTGTTTACTCTGTTCTCCTCTGTTAGCTCCCCTTGCTCCTGCTGCTCTTAAAGGTGCTAGTGAAGGCTATTGCTAGATGTGGAGAACCCAGAGCTGGTGGGATAGGGGCCTGGGGCCGAGATGGCACTGTGTGAGAGTCTAATGCTGTGTGTAGATTCTGTAGCAGGGAAGTAGAATCCTTTCCTTTTAGAATCCCTACCAACAATATTTCTCATGACTTCGATCATTAGTTGACTTTAGGCTTCAATACTCAGGGATAATTCCATTGGCTTTAAGTTTTAATTAAGAAAGAAAATCATTAGGAAAGCAACTTCCCCCTTCCAATTCCTAACTTACAGACAAATTTGTTTTCTGCTATTGATTCACATTTTGCTTTAGACTTTGACCAAATGTGAGTTTGTTAGTTCAAGAGTTTCATAAAAAATAGTCTACCGTTTAAAGTTACCCTCCTAGAGTTTTTTCTTCTACTATAATTGAACTTCTTGATGATAATTTCATAAAACACAAAATTTGTACCATCAGGAATCAAACATGAGAACATTCATACGATTATTCAGCCATCTGAAAGCATTCTGAAGCACATGCAGTTCTGATGCGTGACCCTCTGTGCACAGGTTTAACATATGCATTTCTTTACCCATCTTAATATTGGAGAACAGATGCTAGACCTGCTTGTTCAATCTTACTTTTCTTCCTACTTGATCCAGAGGGTACAGTGGAAATCATTTGGGGTCACACCGGGCTTTGGGGTCTCCACACAACTAAATTAAAACCAGGGTTTATTATGCAGCCTCTATGATAGCTATGTATATTGAAGAAGTAGTTTGTGGGAAGAGAAAGATGAGTAGTAAAAGAATGTTAAAGGAAGATAAGAAGTGAAAAAATGAAAGGATAAAGAGCAACAAACTGAGACCTGCCCACAGAACACCCCCAAATTCTCCTCTCATAGCCACTCCCTCCCAGGTAGATATGAAATACCAGGTTGCTCTTATGTAATCCAGTGTCTTAATTTCAAATTTTCAAATGGTGAAATTGATTCTTTCGTCAAATGAAATCTTATATGGATGCCCAAAATATAAAAACAAAGTAAAGTAGTAGGTTTTTAAATTCAATTTAATTCAATTTATTTAAACTAAAAAAATTAATTTACCCATTTCTCCTATCCCCCAATCCTTGTGTCTTGCAATGACCAATTTCTTTCCTGTATCCATGAGCTTGGATTTTATTTTAAAATTACACATATAGGAGTTATCATAAGGTATTTCTCTTTCAATGCCTCACTTATTTCACTTAGCATAATGCCCTTGTGATCATCTATGTTATTGCAAATGACAAGATTTTATTCTTTTTTGTGGCTGAATAATAGTTCCTTGTGTATATACACCACACTTTCTTTACTTATTGATCCATCCATGAAAACTTAACTTGCTTCCATATCTTGGCTATTGTAAGTAATGCTGCAATGAACATAGTGGTGCATATTTATTTTTGAATGAGTTCTCGTTTTCTTCAGGTAAATACCCAGATGTGGAGTTGTGGATCGTATGGTAGTCATGTTTTTAGTTGTTTAGGAGCTTCCATACTGCTTTCCATAGTGGTTGCACCAATTGACATCCCCACCAATTGTCTCTGAGGGTTTCCTTTTCTTCATATCCTCTCCAACACTTGTTATTTTTTGTCTTTTTTATAATAGCCATTCTAATACCTGTGAAGTCTCGATCTATATTCCTCTGATTCATAATGTCAAGCATCTTTTCATGTACCTGTTGGCCATCTGTATGTTCTAAAATAGTGTTTTATTAACATAAATGTCTACCTTAACATTTATAACATTTCCTTAGCATTAAAGTGATTGGTGAGAGCAAGACTCTTTTAAATAAATGCAAGAATTTGAAATTCGAGGACATGAGTGACACTTTTTTTTTTATCAACTACTATGTCCAATTTTTGTGTTTTCTTTTAAATACAGTGTATCAGAAAATGCTTGTTTCATGTTAAAGGCAAATAGCATCTGAAGTTTTAAAACTTCTCTAGCCATACAAACAGAATTTTAAATTGTTTTAGTACTTTAAAGGAGGAGAAATTGGTAAATTTGGGTCTGAGAGCTGATCACTATACGTTGCGAGCAGAGATGTCGCCAATACGTAAGACGAGTGAGCACTTTCACATGTACCTGTCTACAGTGGGTGTCAGCACTCTCTGTAAGTGAGACTGTCGGGTGTGTGCATTCTACCATGTAACAGTGTGATACAATGCCCATTTGCAATCCAAGACACTGGATGCAATGACATGTCCTGTATGGTTAGACGTGAGCCTCCTGTGGCATTAAATTAATCTTTTCCTACTCCAGTTATGGTAGTTTTCTGGCTTGTTTGCGCATGTCTACATCTGAAAGAAAGACTAGGACAGAGCTATGACCTTACAAATGAACAGTACATCTACAGTATCAAACACATGCATGGACTTAGCAGGAGACACTGAGCCCTGAGGCTGGCACATGCTGACTTAACCTGGTAGGATGTCAGCACATTGTTGGGGCAGAGTACACATTTCAGGCAGATTTCACTTTTAATTACAATTAAATATGTAATTGTCTGAAAAAATGGTGAAGTTCCTAAGCATCTCCTTCCAACTCTATGTCAGAATTTCTACTCTGGGCCAACATCCCCAGCTCACCTGGCCTGGCACCCCTCACCAAATTGCCTGGGAGCTCAAAAAATATTCTGGTGATGTAAGTAAGCCTCCATTTCCTGAAATTTATGGTCAATTTATTCTGTTGTGGTGTCCTCTACCTGATGGTCTTTTTGTAATAAATTTATATTTTTATTAGAATATTTCCAGATAATTCTCAGAATAAAATCTTAACACCTTGGTTTGTTTTTCAAGGTCTTTCTCTGTCACTGTCCAAAGCTATTGCTCCAAACCATGCATCCAAACAGACCTCATTTTCATTTGTTTTTCTTTCCACATTTTGCTTTTGCTGTCTCTTCTCCTATAATGTTATTCCTTGATGTCTAAATCTTTTTGATAAAAAACATAAAAGTGGCCGAAACCAGTTTGGCTCAGTGGATAGAGCGTCGGCCTGCGGACTGAAGGGTCCCGGGTTCGATTCTGGTCAAGGGCATGTACCTGGGTTGTGGGCACATCCCCAAGTAGGAGATGTGCAAGAGGCAGCTGATCGATGTTTCTCTCTCATCGATGTTTCTGACTCTCTATCTCTCTCCCTTCCTCTCTGTAAAAAAAAAAAATCAATAAAATATAAAAAAAAAAACAAAACAAAAACATAAAAGTGATTATCATTTTCATTTTTGTTGCAGCAATATAGATAATATATATGTACACACACACACACACACACACACATCCAGTATATAAATCACATAAAATATTTAATGACATGGAAAGATTTTTCCATTATATTAAGTGGAAAGGCAAATTGAAAAATATTATGATTCTGTTTTTCTTTTCTTTGAGGAGAAAAATATATAGGAAAAAAATTCCTGAAAGTTTACACCTACACAAAAATATTACTAGTTGGTGGAACTGGAGATGAAGTTTGTTTTGCTTATTGGTATTTTATATTTGGATAGTAGACCTGTTTTGTTCTTGTAATAAGACATGAATTAAAACATATCCCTAAAGCATGTGGTACCTTATCTCATCCTTACATAGAATTTTGGAGTATCTTAACCCCAAACTCTTCCAAATTGTTCTCATTATTACTCGTATATCTGGGTATTTAAAAATATTTAATCAATGTGAGTGGCACTAAGGTTGAAGGTAATGCTCATTAATGTTCAGCACAGAATAATATTTTTGAGAGCCCTTTCTGTCATCCCACTGAACTTGGCTTTGGAAATCACCAGACTACCCATCCACTCATGTCTGCAATGATCCCCCTTACCTACAGGAGTTGGGGCAGAGCTAAGATAGTTGCTAATGAAAGAGGAATTTAGATTTACTGTGTCCTAAGCCCTGGGTGACATTTTTCGAATATTCTCCTCCAATAGGAAAAGGGCATGTAGTTCTCCTGTGTTGCAGTTTTGAATAACGTGTGCACAGAGGGGTTAACTATTGTTTCTGGTGAAGGTAACAGGGAAACATCTGTCTGCTCAGTCACCCTGGAGCCCTAATATCTTGCTTTGTGATTTGCCTCTGCATTCACAGCCACATACTCATCTCCCCAAACAAAGAGGATATATTTGGTTGTCACTGATCATTTTTTTAAACTGGATTAGGCAGTTTCCCTTGAAACTTCTTTCCTAATGTAGCATGAAGTAGAGTTAAATAGCAAAAATGAAGGAATTTATTTGGAGCTATCAAAATAGGAAGGGGAATTGTTTGGTTCCACCGCAGACTGCAAGAGGGCTGAGGCATGGATTGAAGGAAATTATCAAGCGTGCATGTTGTTTTTAAGTGATACTTGAGACCAGGATGGGAAACAGCTGTGTTGTTGGGGGGTTTTTCTCGTGCCAACGTTCCTCATTTGATTGATTTTTCTCTCCGACAGCCCACTGTGCAGATAAATGTGTCCATGGTCGCTGCATTGCTCCAAACACCTGTCAGTGTGAGCCTGGCTGGGGGGGCACCAACTGCTCCAGTGGTGAGTGCCCACCTGCTGTTGTCTGTCTTGGGATGTTTGTGCTGGAAGGGCCCCTTGTCTGCAGATTCCCCTGAGCCTTGGGTTTCCCGTTTCACCCCTATGCAGAGTGTAGTGCGGATTCCCGACCCAACCCATTAATAGAGTTTCCTTTAAATCTGTGCAAGTTATTAGATCCAGAGCTGTTAACTGAGTACAAAGAAAGGTACTTGGAAGGAAGAAGATTTCAATAATCTGATGCTGATGATTCCGTAAATACCAGTGCATTTGCCAGAGTAGGGCAGTCGTGGTGACATAGCTATTGTAGTCTAACTTCTGTTTCCACTTGTTGATTTATCTATGATATTTGCTTGGTGATTAAAATTGACTACTTTCTGGTCTTAACTCAGAAGAAGTAGAATGGATATTTTCAATGCTTAACCGATTTTTCTCTGCATTTTGAGATGCAAATAATGAACACTTGCTTGAGATAACATTGGGGAGAAATATTGGTAATAAATAAAAATTCATGAACAGAATATAGTATGTCATCTGTCTCACGTTAAAATTACAGTTCTAAAATAACACTATTTGAACTATAAGCAGATTGCATTTAAAATCTCATATTCTTTATTATGAGTATTAAATGATGGAATGTCATGTAGTGCAGTTGCTTTTCTAAATTTCACAGTTAAAACTTAAAAGTTTTCTGGCTAATTTGTTGCTGTGTGTGTAATTGTGTATACTTCCTGTTCCTTCATACTTCTTTTTTTTACGTTTATCTTTTACTCTAGACAGTATTACAGATGTCCCCTATTTCCCCACATCCCACCCTCCACTAGCCCCTGTCCCAGCCCAGGCTTTCGCCACACTATTCGCCTTGAAAAATGTGAGAGGGACTCAGAGAGCAACTAAATTGTCAAGAACGGACCATCATATTTAGAGAAAGGAAATACTAGTTTTAAAAATTAGCAGGCTCTCATGGCAGCACAAATGTGTCCTCATTGCTACAAAACAGTTTTCTGAAACTAGTCCAAACGGACTTCCAGCTGTCTAGGTAAGCCGGGTTTAGGAATTTTTACTTGCTCACATTTGGGATGGGGAGATGACTGTTTATCTTGTTAGAACTACTTGTTTCAGTTTTGTGGTCTCTTGGCTGCCCCTTGTGCTGTCTGTGCACAGAACATTCTGTGTGAAAGAGCCTTTTCATTGTATCTTAAGCAGCAGCGGGGGTGAGGGGGAGGGGGGGGAGAAGAGACAGAGAGAGAGAGAGAGAGAGAGAGAGAGAGAGAGAGAGAGAGAGAGAGAGAGTTTCTGCCCCTGATGGGCTTCCAGTCCCAGTGCATAACTGTTCTGCAGGGTTTTGTTGTGCTTCTGTTCGAGATCAGGAGAAGAGTAGGCATTCTGTTCACATGCCGTTGAGGCAAAATGTTTGGGATGTGGGAGTTGGCTCATGTCCATTTTTCTGGCCGACTGACCTCAAATGCGATGTGGCTTTCATGAACTTTTCCAGCTTAAAAATCAGTTGTGCCTACACATTTTGAGGAAAAATAACATTATTCTATAAACTAGTGGGCAAGAGAAGAGAGGATGTATTCGTCATTTGAAAAGCGAGGTTTGTTGCTAATTCCAGGGCAAGAATGCTGTGGAATAATTTCAGCTGTATTTATACTCTGTCTCCCAAGGACTGCAGCCTGTGTCAAGCTAAGAGATCAGACTAAGAGTGTGTAAACAAAACAAAAGCCTACATGGGTTTCAGATTCTTGAGAACTGGTTCAGACCTCTTGGAATATAAGATAGTGTTTTATTTTGCAGGTTAGGCCTTCTTGAAAATAAACTGCTTCATTTTGGAGTTGACTCCCTTTTGAAGAAAGCCCCTAGAATACTCAGAACACATGTTCTTTCAATCCTGGAAGGTGATATTGACTCAACTTTTATTTATTCTCTACAACTCATGTTTTGGTTTATCTATAATGATCAAAGGCATAAGTAAACATGGACTGTTATTTGACATCTTCAAAGATGTTTGGAGAAAAGCATTTCTGACACCTTTTCTAAGCACATAAGAAAATGCTATTCTGAGCTGGAGCACTGGGTCTTGTTACCTCGATTTTGTCTGTGGCAGTTACTCCACTGTCACTAATTAGGAGTTGTATAATTTACTTATTACTCTTGGCCAGATAATTTTTGCAGTAAAATGCATGCACTAGTAATCTATCTAGTAACAGAGTTAAAATAGTCTAATTTTCAAAGATTTTATTTCTGTGTCGCCTCTTCTCTGGTTATTCTTACATATATATTTGGTGATATATAGTAGAACCATAAAATGATTGCTTTGACAATTAGAGCAGTTCCTTGTATCAATCAGGAGACAGAAACCTCAATACTTATTTTTTCACTAAAGCTTTTAGTTTGGAACCATTTTAAATTTATAGAAAATTTGCAAAGATAGGAAGGAGAGTTCCCAAATGCCTGCATCCAGTTTTCCCCCTTGTTAATGTCTGACCATTAGTTTGTCAAACTGAGAAACTGATATTAGTACATCACTGTTAAATAAACGCCAGACTTTATTTGGATTTCATCAGTTTTTCTGTTGATGTCTCTTTCTGTTCCAGATCCAAATCCAGGGCACCACACTGCCTTTCATTGTCCTGTCTTCCCTGACTCCTGATGTGTGACAGTTTCTCAGTTATTGTTTTTCCTAACCTCGGTAGCCTTGAAAAGCACTGGCCAGGTATCCTGTAGAATGCCCCTCAGTCAGTGTTTGGTGTTTTTCTCATGGTGGGGTTATGGGATTTGAAAGGAATACCACGGAGTTGACGTGCCCTTCTCTTCACATCATATCAGGGGTTTCATGACATTCATATGACATCACTGGTGATAGCATCACTTGGTTACCCTTCATCGCTTGCTGATGTGTAGTGTTTGTCAGGTTTCTCCACATAAAGTCACTATTTTTCGCTCTCCCTAATTGGTTCTTTAAAAAGCAAGTCACTAAGTCTAGCCTTCCCTTAAGGGTGAAAGGCAGGAATTAAGCTTTAGTCTTCGAGGGGTGAGTGTCTACCTATGTTATTTGGAGCTCTTTTTGAGGAAGATTTGTCTTTCCCCTATTCATTCAATCACTTATTTATATCAGTATGGGCTCATATACAATTATATTGATATTTTGGGTTATACACCAACAGTACGTTATTTTTTTGCTCAAGTTGTTCCAGCTTTAGAGATTGGGTGTTCCTTTGGGTGGCTCTGTGTCCTGTTGACATGCCCCCTGCATTCTGTTTGTTTCTGCTGGTTTGTTTTGAGCACTTCCTTACTTTCTGGTGCTACAGGATACTCCAAGCTTATTTTGTGTTTTTTCCTGCCTCAGTCCTAGAACGAGCCATTGGAAAATGGTATTTAGAAACGAAAATCGGTGTGCTGGGAATGCTCATTACTACTGGGACACATAGTAACTTTAACAAGGAGAGTTTATTAAGAAGGATTATGAACTACCACAGGGGATTGGAGTAATGAGGGATCGGCTATTAAGAAGTAAATAGCACTCAAGACAATGCAAGGGCAGCTGACATAAGAAGCAGCCTCTACTCTTAGGGCTGAGATAAAGTGCCCCAAAGGAAGCCCCACCGGAGTGCGATCCAGACCTCGTTAGAGAAGGCACGTCCACAGCTCACTGAATGGCAGAGAGGCTGCCGGAGTACTGTTCTTGCAGAACTTGCTGGAAATCTGCCCTCCAGGACACTTGGAAAAGCTTTGGATAGAGAAGTGTCTGCTATCAAAGCCCCAGGGGTACCCAGGGACAGTTGCTGGCTCATGGGTTCTGCTAGCCAGTGTGTTGCAGGAGCTGGATGCTAACAAGCTGCCTGTGCTGTAGGACCTAGCGCTGGGCTGCAGAAGCTGCCCCTTTTGCAGAAACGGTGCTCAGTGAAAGCTGCCACACCGTCAGATGCTGCAGAAGTCAGTCCCACTGTGCTTCCAGGGCAGGCCCTGGGGGCTGGAGAAGCCACATGCACTTCAGGAATCAGTTGAGGTAGCACACTGGAACACCGAGGATAGCTTTCCTCCTGGAATGTCTCTCCTGTGCCCTCTAAAGAAAATGCTTCACACTCAGCTAGCTGGAAAAGGAAGAATATCTAAAGGGCCCAGATCCATTTTTGTAGAGCCCGCAATGAAGGAAAAGTTCAGTACTGAGAGGCAATAAAGTGATAGCCATTGCAATCCATGCCTTTGGTTACTCAGCTCCTCTATGTACACTTCTATACATATTTTATCTAGATACTAAAGTTAATGTCCAACAACTTGTTTATAAAATAAAATAAAAATGAAAAGAGAGGGAAAAGAAAATAACATCTACAAATGAATGTATTCATATAACAAGCCAATAGAAACTATTAAAAACTGCAGCAGGCCCCTGTTCTGTAACTAGTCACAAGGCTGTCATTGTATATGCACCTCCCTTCTCCATTCAGCATTGTGTGCCCACCCTTTCTCAGCCCAGAGCCCACCTGCTTGGGGCTCCTTACATGGTGGAGTGATTTCAGCCCCCATTCCTGAATGACCTGAATTCTCAGTTGTCTTACCTTTAAATAAATTATTGATGGTTTCTGTAACCTTTCTTAGTGGGCATGGAATTGCTAAGAGGTGCCCCATATCAGAGTTTCTTGGTTTCATGTAGCAACCCAATTTCCTCTTGAAAATCAGGATCAATCATTACATCCAGAAGAGTAAGTACTTTATTTACAGTAAGAGGATAAAATGACCAGGTGGCCGTAAATTGGTAACTGTCACCCAGAACTATCTCTCTGTATTTTCCCCCCTCAAATATTCAGGAGATTAAGGGACTAACAGATACCTTTATATGTACAGGTTCACAAAGGCATCCCTTGGAAATTTAATCCGCTCACTTTGTCAGTGGAGGGCAGGGTTCCTATATGTGATATATAGTCAGAATTCCTGGTCTCAGTGTATTCTCTGTGTAAAAAACCAGGTGTGTCAGAGAACTGTACAGAGTTTGTTCCCCCCGGAGT